TTCCGTAGTGATACTGCCTCGGAAACCCAAGGAGGGGTCGCTATGAGTCAGGGCTGACTCGACGGCACATAACAACAACAACAACAACATATGCCATCCCATTGCCTTCTTGCCTGCATGGGCATGGTTTCTGCTGAGAAATCCAAGCTTATTCTTATTGGTTGCCCCTTGTAGGTACCTTTTTGTTTTTCCCATGCTACTTCAGGATTCTTTCCTTGTCTTTGGTTTTGATGAGTTTGATGATGATATGTCTTGGTGATTTTCTTTTGAGGTCTATCTTGTTTGGGGTTTGTTGGACTTCTTGAATACATATATTCTCATCTTTCATCATACCAGGAAAATTCTCTTCCAACAAATCTTCGACAATTTTCTCTATGGTTTTATTTGTCTTTTCCTGTCCTGGAATTCCAATTACACATAGGCTATTCCCTTTGATGGTATCCCATGTGAACCTTAGGCTTTCTTCATTTTGTTTTGATCTTTTTTCTGATTGATCCCTTTCCAAAGAAGTATTGAGGTATTTGCCTTCAATTTCACTAATTCTGTCTTCCATTGATTCAATTCTACTCTCTTGCCCGTTCAATGTGTTATCTATTTCTGACAATTTAGTATTAATCTTCTGGATTTCTGTCTGTAGATTTTGTATCATTTCTAATTTTTCATTTATTTTGTTATTTTGTTCTTATATTTTCTTTCAGAATTGTTGTAGAGTTTTCCGTGTGTTTTCCTCAATTTTGTCAGTGTTTTCCTTGATCTGTCTTTCGATTCATTGAAGGTACCTAAATATAATTCTTTTGAATTCCTTATCGGGGAGTTCCAATGCTGTGTCTTCCTCAGGGATGTGTTTTGGGTCTGCATCCTGGTCCCTTGTTTCTCTTGCTTTTTCTTGCTTTTTTTGTGTGGACTGTGATGCTCTGTTGTCTCCAAGGCATTGTGATATTTTTGTGTTTATGTTTAATTGGTGATTGTATGTTGGAGTGACTTTGCCATGATTTTTGTTTCCTTTGTATGTTTGTATGCTCTTCTATTTGCTAGTTGACAGCACTTATACACGTACCACCTATTTCCTTCCATGTTGTCAGCCTCCCATATGTCCCTGCCATCCTTGGCAAACAAAGCCTATTCTTAGATCCCTGCAATTCAAGTCAGAATGCTGTCACTTTAAAATAAAAAATGGCTGCCACTTGTAAAGATTCAAAATTGCTGCACCTTTGGTAACTTTAAATGTCCAAAATGGCTGCCGCTTGTAAACAATCAAAATGGCTGTGCTCTCTGGATAGTTGAAAGTCCACAGCTCAGATTGTCTCCCTCCTTGCCGTTTCCCTTCCTAGTCATAGGCCACCAGTGCAATTGTCCCTGCATTCCTTGGTGACCAGGGCTGATCTTTAGGTCAGTTCTCAGGTCCCAACACCACTTGGAAATATTCAGGCTATTGGTCCCGTCAGAGTAGCTGACAGTCCACTGCTCTGACCATCTCAATACTCACTGTTTTCATTCAAGTTTTTCCACTAGTTTGTGCCTAATCCACTTCTGTATAGTTCTTATCTCAGGGCTCCAGGATTATCTTTTGTATCTCTGTCAATTGGTTTATCTTTTCTTTGTTGAAGAGGGTCTGTGGAGCTTGTCTGCCTATTCTACCATCTTACTGGAAGTCCTATAAATTATTATTTTTAAAAATGAATTATTTTACTTCATAAGGCAGTCTCAAGTATCTTTGTGCTAGAAAAGTAGGATAAGTTGGCTAACTTTAAGAATATAAATACAATAACATGGGCAAACTTTGATAGTTGGTATTTACTCCTATTGCTTGTAATTTACTTCTAGTGCTCTGTTGTATAATCAGCCATACCTCTGAGAGCCTGACTCAGTGACAAATATCTTTTCAGCGGAACTCCCACCTCCATATACAGCCATTGCCAGTCCAGATGCCAGTGGTATTCCAGTAATAAACTGCCGTGTGTGCCAATCTCTAATCAATTTGGATGGCAAGCTTCACCAGCATGTGGTTAAGTGCACGGTGTGCAATGAAGCTACGGTAAGTGGAGCTTTCCATTAATAAAAGCATAAGTTATTATCTGATATTTCATCCTTCATCCAAAGTACTTCAGTAATGTTTCTTAAAGAAGATATGGGCTGGATACAAATGTGATGATCTTTTTTTATCCTTTCTTTCTTCTCTCTATCTGTCCTTAAGAGAAATTCACAATGAATTTAAATAAATGTTGTTTGGCTCTTTATTTTTTTCTAAAAGAAAATGACTGGTAATGGGCAGGGATTTATAATGATCTTCAGTGTGATGCCACATGATAAGTAAACCATTATGATTATTACTAATATAAAAATGTGCTAGACTTCAGTAAAAATGTAGACTTTGTCCTTAGTATGAAAAATATTTATACTTGTCTTATTTAGGATGTCAGTTTGGATTTTCTGACTTTTGTGGTTATGCTTTTATTATAGCTATTTAAAAAAAAAATTGATGGGCTCATTTTCTACTGCTCTTGTACCACAACACTTTGGGAAAAGCAAGTAAATTTTAAACCACATGTTTAGAGTTTCAAGTAATCAACTGATAAAGCATGTACTATTTTAGATGGAATCTATTTCTACTTTCATAGTTAGGCTTTACTTTAAAAATTTCAGTCCCTCTCATAATCTGTAATTACAGATTAATTTTTGGTATTTTAGTTTTTTTTTTTTTTTTAGAAAATAATCAGCTAGTGCTCGTGAGTGTGTCTCTAAAAACCATAAACATAGATGTTGGGCTTTTTATGTTTTTAAAATGTTTTATTATGGTAAAAGTATAGTAAAAAAATTTTCTAATTCAGCTTTTTTTTTCATGCACACTCCAGTGACATTGATTATGTTCATCAACCATCACCACTCTCTCTTTCCAAATTATGCCAACACCATTAGTAGAAAGTCAATGCCCCCTACGTAGTGATTCTCCTTTTTCCCCTCCCTTCCACTCCTGGTAACCACTAATAAACTCTTTTCTCTCTCTATTTGCCTATTCTTGACATGGACTTTATATGTTTTATAGGAAATCATAAAATAAAACCTTAAGTTGTGAAACAAAATATTTCATTATGAATATTTTCTTCTGTGAAGGACATCATTCAGAGAAGAACTTTATTGTGTAAATAGGCAATCTCTACAAAACCAGCTATTTTCTTTCTAAGTTGAATGCTCTCTAGTAAATTTAATTAGCATTAATGTTCTCAGTGTTCTTTGCACAGTTGGCAAGAGAGTAACAGTTGTTAGACATAAATAACAATTAAAAAAGTACTAGTACCTTAACGGGTTTTTTTGGATTTGATATTGATTCTAATTTCTTTGCCTGTTCCTTTGCCAATAGCAACTTTTGCTCTCATAGAATAGAAAAAAGAATTTTAAAAGTTTATGATTACTCTTGTAGAAAGTAGAGAGAGAGGACCAGTTAGGTCAGTTCGCTCCACAGGATTTTCAGTGACTGATCTTCCAGAAGTCGATCACCAGACTTTTCTGCTGAGGTCCTTCTGGGTGGACCCAAAGCAGCAGCCTCTCATGGTCGTGGCTGAGTGCCAGGCCACCCTGCACAGCAGGCCAGGGCTTTCGTGCAGCAGTTTCAGAATTACTGTGGATTTCACCAGCTGGTCAATATAGCTGCTTAGAAGTGAGAAGTTCACACAGGGTCCATGTTTGTGTTCATAACAGAGGTTTGGCTACAAATAAGCTGCTTGTAAATTGTGCTGACATTTTGATACTGTGACTGCCATTGGGAAAGAGTAAAGAAATATAACTAATTATGAGGACTCTATAGAAAATAAATAGGATCTAATTATACTGCACTGTTTGGAATCAGTAATATTACAGAGAAGAACAGTGAAAAGTTCTGTGAGGAGGTCTTTAACTGATAATGACTGGTTGATGTTTAAAAAGTAATATCAATTTATCTCTTTAAGAGGTGTGAGACAACTAGGAGCATCTCTGGGAATTCTAGGTATGAAAGAACTGGTATAATGGACCAGGGTACCACAGAGCGGTTCTCTGTGTCACTATCACTGCACCCCATTCAGTTTTACTGAATTCACTCTCCTCATGTCATTGAAACCAGAGTATCAGTGTATCTATCCTCCTGAGCAGCAGCCGCCAATAGGATCTTGATATGTCTGTGGAAATTTTAAAAAAAGAAAACAATTAAAATTTTTGTTTTGTTTTGTTGTTGTCAAAAAAGAAATGTTAGCAAAATTGTGCAAATGTAAAATTTAAGATTAAGGGAGAAGGAATTTCTCAGACAACATAGTGGAAAACTTCAGAAGTTCTGAGGAAAAACAGCTTGGCTGTGTGATTATGAGGCTGAGTTTTATAGGCTGATAGACCGGGATTCAAGTTCCAGCTCTTGTCGTTTAGTAGCAGTATGTCTTTGAGGAATGGACTCTAAACTGCAATTTCCTCATATAAAATGATACAGTTTTAATAAACCAACCCACTGCTGTCGAGTCATATCCAACTCATAGTGATCCATTCTTGGGTTTCCGAGGTGGTATCACCACAGAAATAGATTGTCCAACCTTCTCTCCAAGGAGTGGCTGGTGGGTTTAAACTGCTAGCCTTCTGGTTAGCAGTCAAATGCTTGAGGCACTACCCTACCAGAGCTCCTATAATTATAAGAATACCTACCTTATAGGGTTACTGTTGAGATCATAGAGGTCAAATGCCCAGCACAGTGCTTGCCACATACAAGTTTAGTTTTTAAGTGAAAATATAAAAGCATATACATAAGGAAAAAAGTCATTTCTCTGCTGGCCAGGAACCACATGGCATGGACTGGCACTGAGGACTAGTGCTTAAGATCTAGTTCAGCCACCTTATTTCATGAGGGACGTAGGGTCTAGAACTGAGGTGAGAAATAATTATAAAAACAAATCAGTAGAACTGACAAGGGACAAGGTTGTAGTCATTTCTTGGTCACAGCCAGCTACCCAGAGGGACTGAGTAGTTGAACCTGTGGGCTTGGGACCATAGTCACAGGGGACATCAAGCTCTATTGGCATAATGTACTGCACAAAACATTGTTCCACCTCCTACTTTGGCTAGTAGCGACTGGGATCTTAAAAGCTTGCAAGCTGCCATCTAGAAGCAATGGTGGGTCTCTCCTCATCCAGAGCAAAAAAGAATGAAGAAAACCAAAATTCATGGAAACTATTAGTCCTTGCGACTGATACACCTTGCAATCCTCAGCCTATATGACTGAGACCAGAAGAACTAGATGGTGCCCGGCTAACACTGTCAACCACTCAGAGGGGGATCTATGTAGGAGATCCTGGATAGAGTGGGAGAACAATGTAGAACAAAACTCAAAATCATTTGGGGGGAAAGAAAATGGGGGGAGGGACCAGGTTTGCTGGTCCGATAGAGCCTGGTGGAACCACTGAGACTATGACCCCTAGCTGCCCTTCACATCTGGAATTGAACTCACGCCTGTGGCTTCCAGCCAAACAAAAGACAGACATAAGAGCTGAGCGTTTACTAGAGGTAGATACACAACTTGGAGAGAACAATCATGGGAGAAAGAAGGGCTGTTTATGCACAGAGAGACAGCTCAGGGGGCATAAGTGCATGGAGGGATGGACACAGAGAAGAGGTAACTATCGAGAGGAAGCGGGAGGGGAGCTGTTGCATTGGGGTAAATTGTTGTCAGTGTCATGAGACAATGTGTGTGTGAACTGCTGTATGGGAAATGAATTTGCTGTGTAAACTTTCACCCAAATCACAATTAAAAAAAAAAAAATCGAGTCATTTGCCAAACACACTTTTAATTAATGATAAAGTTCAGATAGATGACTTAACCCAATTTCTGTTTTTATCGATACTTTAGGTATTATAACTATGCAGTCTGATATTTGTAAATGTTAAATATTCACATTTTCAGATATCTGTAATATAGTTTAATAAATTAATAACTATAGCTTAATGAAAAGTTAGATGCTAACTTTTAGGAAAAAACATAAAAAACCAAACTCACTGCCATTGAGTTGATTCTGACTCATAGCGACCCCCTTTGGGTTTCCAAGATGGTAAATCTTTATAGAAGTAGATAGCCCTATATATTTCTACTATTGTTACTTAAAGTATTTTAACTTTTCATCTTGAAATAATTGCAGATGTACAGAATAATTTAAAAAATAATAGTACAAAGAATCCCCATATAATCCTCAGCCAAATTCCTCAAATGTTAATATTTTACCACTTTTGTTTTCTCTAAATAAATGAGCAAATTCTATTTGTTTATTTGTTTTTCTGAGCCGCTTGAGAGTAATTGCAAACATGGTGTTCTTTTACCCCTAAATACTTCAGAGTAGATTTCCTAAAAAACAAGGACATTGACTTCTGTAATCACAATTCAATTATTGAAAGCAGGAAGTTAACATTGATACAATACTGTTTTCAAGTCTATTGACCTCACTCACAGTTCCCCAGTTGTCTTACTAATGTTGTCCTCTATGCCAAAAAAAAAAAAAAATCTCATCCAGGAGGCAAATTGAAAATCACAGGATATATTTGGTTGTCATATCACTTTAGTCTCACTTCATCTGAGACTTAGACTTTCTTGTTTTTATTACCCTGACATTTTTGAAGAGTAACGGCAAGATATTTTGTAGAATGTGCCTCAATTTGACTTTGTCTGATGTACGCTCATGATGAGGCCAGGCTACAGAGTTTTGGCAGGGATACCACAGGAGTGATGTTCTAATCCTCCTAGTACGAATTTAATTGAAAGTGTTTTGGGTGTTATTCTTGTTTTCTTTTTTTTTTTTAATGTCAGTGTTAAAAACTATCACAAGTTTTTTTTTTTTTTTTAGTCTAAGGGATGCCATAAAATTAAACCCTTCTTACATTCTAATAATAAAATTTAAGACTAGTTCAGATTTATCATGTCCTCCTCTTTCCCCATTATTCTACGGTACAGTAAGTCCCTGGGCTACAAATGAGATCTGTGCCCAACTGTGTCTTTTAGAATTTGTAGTTAAGTTGGGCCATGTCCATATTATTCTTATTTAGCCTTGCTTTAGTGTGAGAAAAAAGGAGCTCTGGTGGCACAGTGGTTAAAGCAGCTGCAAACCAAAAGGATGCTGGTTCGAATTCATCACCCACTCCATGGGAGAAAGACTGAGCAGTCTGCTTATGTAAATATTTACAGTCTTGAAAACCCTACTCTGTTCTAAAGGGTCACAATGAATGGAATCAACTTGATAGCAGTGGGTTTGGTTTTTGGGTTGGTACAAGAAAAAGCTCAAAGGCTTTCCAATATTTTAAAAGCTGTATGTGATTGTCATGAAGAATTTGTTGGCCATAGGGGTTGGTTCAATAGTTTCAAAGTGAGGTGAAATTTACATCACATTAAAGGGCAAATAGGAATTGCCTGTAAGTTGGCTGTAGTAAGTTGGACATCATAACCAAGGACTGTATGTGCTCTTTCCCAGACAGGTGTCAAGACCTGTGAATATTCTGTGAATAAAGCTGAGGTAGCACCTACAGTCATTAAGGGATGGACAAGATAGATGTCTTATTATCTTTAAAGAAAAAAACAACTTTTTGTGTCCACTGATTATTCCTGCTATATAAAAAGACCAGTAAGAGCTGATTTTGAGATATGCCCTTGATAATTAAATCTTTATAGCCCCCAAAACTTTATAGAGTGTTTGCCAACATTTGTTCTATTTGAAAACTTTTCCTTAAACTGTGCTTTAGTGGCACTGGGAAACCTTAGCTTTAAAGGAATCAGCTCATTTTTAAACACCAAAAGCTTTGGCAATCCATACTTTGGTTAATTTGCTATGTTTGGATTTTCTTTCCTTATCTAGCCAATCAAAAACCCCCCAACAGGGAAGAAATATGTTAGATGCCCTTGTAATTGTCTCCTCATTTGTAAGGACACATCTCGGCGAATAGGATGTCCAAGACCTAATTGGTAAGAGATAAAGATTCCTTCATTAATTCATTGATCCATTTGTTCACTCAACAAATATTTATTAAAGGCTCATTATGTGCCAGGATTTGTACTAGACAGAGTCTTTGTCCTCACATTAATTAGAGGATCTAGGTGCTTTTTGTTGTTGTTCAGGGAATGATATGCTTACTTTGAACTTAATGGTCATAGGTATTTGTAAGACATAATATTCTTGAATGAGCAATGTGCTTTCTTGATATTGTGTAAGTACTTAACAGACTATAATAAATTAGTGACTCATTAAACTTTAAAAATAATCAAGTAGTGTTTTTTCATGATGTATCTCATTGTATGCTATCCTAGTCTCACTGAATATATTTAATAAATTCTTGAATAATTTGAATAATAATGCATTTTTTCTGTAACGTCTTCCCTTTTGACCATGACATGAATCGTTCGTAGCCCCATTTGATAATAGACTGGAGAATGAAAAGGAAAAGAGGCTCCTATTTAGCTTTCTTTCAGACCTTGATCAAATAAGCATCAAGGAATAGCAGCCAACTCAGAGAAATTTTGTAACTCAGCACCCTGGTAACTTCATGGCACATACCTATATGTTGATGTTGTGATATTTTAAGTTAATTTATTTAATTTTCTACTTCATTCCAGTTATCATTCTGGATAGGGAATAATAAGAATTGTATTCTGATTTAAATGTATAAAAACTTGGAAATGGCAGTAGGATGGTTCCCAAGGGCATTGATAAGGACCAATACCCAAATATATGGTTTCTATCCCAAGTATTAAAAAAATAGTCATTTTTTGCTTTTGAAAGACTAATTATTGCAACTTTATGTTATCTTGATTCCAAAGCTTGACATTTAATTTAATTTATAAAACAAGTATAGTGTGTTTTCAATGGTATCATCTATGTCTTAGGCCATATATTGCAGGTTTTGCCCTCATTTGTGGGATAATGAAATTGTTTCCTGTTTCTTTCCATAGTAGACGCATAATTAACCTTGGACCAGTAATGCTAATTTCCGAAGAACAACCAGCCCAACCTGCATTGCCAGTCCAGCCAGAAGGTACAAGAGTTGTATGTGGGCACTGTGGAAACACATTCCTGGTAAGTGGCAAATATTTATCATAGAGACATCAACCTGTAAGTACAGGTCATGATCACATAAATCTAACAACTGCTGTTATTCTCATGAAAAAAACAAATCAAACCCACTGCCATTGAGTCTATTCTGACTCACAGAGACCCTGTGGGACAGAGTAGGACTGCCCATAGGGTTTTCCAAGGCTGTAAATTTTTATGGAAGCAGATTGCCTCATCTTTCTCCCACAGAGCAGCTGATGGGTTCGAACTTCCAACCTTTTCGTTAGCAGCAGAATGCTTTAACCACTAAAAATTGGTCAAAAAATTAAAACTGAGCCTTATTTGGAGAAGAGTGAATCAGAGCTGCAGCTAGGATATGCAACATGTTTTGTGAATTAGATAATAGATGCCTTCTTGGTTGGTCCACTTGTGAAAAAAGAGACTCACTGAGTGAGCCAAGGAGAAACAGCACCCTTTTATCCAGGCTAGGGCCATGGGGTATCTTGGCTTGGTGAGCAGTTGAATCTTAGCCCTACTCTCACCTCCTCATCAGAGCACAATGTTCACAGTCTCATACATGTCCCTGCTCTATGGCTTTTAGAGTCAGGAAATAATTTATCCAATATTTTCTGGTTTTTTAAAACTATACTTGAAAAAAAAAAAAAAACTCTATACTTGGAATAAAGATAAACTCTGATATCAATAGTTTCATAAACCATTGCATGGAAAGAAAGGTCTAAGTAGTTTAATATCAGCAAAAGATATAGGAGTTTTTTTGTTTTACTATTTCTGCAACCCAGAGTTGGATTTTTAACAAGTTCCATGCATAGTAAGTAACAAGGATCTGCCTTTCATTTACCTAAAGTGTCTTTGTGTTTGTCCTACTATCTAAAGAACCTATAATCACACCTAATATCATAGGATTATTAAAAGTCATTGTGGTTGAATGGGACGCTAATTTGCTTTGTAAACTTTTACCCAAATCACAATGAAATGTTACATAAATTAAAAAAAAATAATTAACATCAAGAAAAAAATAAGTTAAATGCATAATAACGGATGTCAGCAGGAATAGTGAGAACAGATTTTCTTTTGTTATGCAGCCTTCATAGGAGAAAAGAGATTTTCCATAAAATCTACATATTAAAGGAAACTTCCAGGCTGTAGGAACGGGAAAGGTGAGGCTAGTAGTGGTCTAAAACTGCCCCTAATGTCGCTAAAGGATGAACAAACTTAAGAGGTGATTTGCTTTATTAAATTTGTTATTTCTTCTAATTATTTTTTTAGTAAATCAATTAATATACATCGTTTCAAATGTCAAATAGAGCTGTAAAGCTTATAGGAAAAAATGGTGGTTATCTGCATATCTGCCTCCACCCTCAATTCTCATCCTTCAAATATGTTCACCTTTCATCTGCTCTTCTGATATTTACTTCCTTGTGTTCAAATTATTTGCACATACTTTTTCTGTTTGATTAATCATTTTCAGACATTACTCAGTAACTTGTGAAGTACAAGTCAGCATTTAGGACTCATGCCATTCATATTCCTTCTTCAGTCCATACTTTCAATTTGGGTATAATTTTTTGTTCAGTTAACACTTACTGTTTACATTTTTAAGGTCCTTCGGTGGTGTAAACAGTGTGCCCTCGGCTAATAACCAAAAGATTGGTGGTTCGAACCCTTGGAACACAATGGAAATAAAGGCCTGGCAATCTGTGTTTGTAAAGATTATAGCCAACCAAACCCTATTGGGCTGTTCTAATCTGTAACAGATGGGGTCCTTCTATAGGCACAAATCAGCAACAAAAATAAAATCAATAACAAAAACACTTAGTGTTTATGTTTTTTATGATTAGGTAAATAAGATTTGCAGCTAAGCCAAGTAATATACATTTTCTGTCTTCTTCTTGTTGTGTGCCGTCAAGTGGGACCCGACTAGTAGTGACCTCTCCTTAGGTTTCTGAGGCAGTATCACTATGGAAGTAGATTGCCCAACCTTCCTTCCGAGGAGTGGCTGGTAGGTTTGAACTGCCAGCCTTCTGGTTAGCACTCAAGTGCCTTAGGCACTACGCTACCAAATTTTCCTTGATTTTAAAATAATTTCCCTTTCTCCTTTTGGATTTATTTAATTTTCTATGTACAAATCATTTGTTCTTCCCATACTCTTTGATAGAAACTATAATACTATAAAATTCCTGTTATTTTAGTCAAACACATCAGGGAATCTTTTATTTAGACTTTCTGCCACACATCTGTCATCTTCTCCTCACCATCATCCTAGGAATTCCTTTTACTTGTTTCTGTTGTTGGAACCTCTGCCATCCTCATGGTTCTTGCTTTATTCCCTTTCTTTTCCTTCCTTATCCTGGTGGAGCACATCCTCTCTTAGCTTTCTGAGAAAAGACACAGGGGAAATAAATTTGAACCCTTTTATTTCTGAAAATGTTCTTAATCTTATCACATATTCACTTTATAATTTGGGCAGATGTTGTATTCTGGGTTGCTACTTGTTTCCTCTCAGAAACTTGAAGGCTTTGCTCCATTGCTGATAAATTTAACAGCTAATCTGACTCTGATCCTTTCTATGTGGTTTATTTTTCTCCTCTTTATTCTCTCTTACATTTCTTTTTCCTCTTTAATTTTCTCCAGTGTTCTGAAATCATGAGGATATGCTTTCTAAGAGTCTCTTTGCACTCATTGTCTAGTTACTCAGTGGGCCATCATAAAATGGATTCATAAACTTCGATTTTGGTGAATTGTCTTATATTATTTCTCCAGTCAATTTTCTTTGTCCTGTTTTTCTAGAACTCCTTCTATTAGACTTACTGAATATTCTTTCCCTTTGTCTGCTGTCTCTGTTAACATTTTCTTTCAATTCAGTCTTTTTGTTTTACTTTCTAGGCAATTTACTGAACTTTATTTTCTTAACTTTGTTAAAATTTTTAATTTAAGATGATCTAACTTAGTTTTTTAAAATTTTATTATGATTTGGGTGAAAGTTTACAGAACAAATTCATCTTCCGTACAGCAGATCTCTGGGAGTGTAGTGCCTAAGGCACTTGACTGCTAACCAGAAGGCTGGCAGTTCAAACCCACCAGCTGCTCCTCGGAAGGAAGATTGGGCAGTCTACTTCCGTAGTGATACTGCCTTGGAAACCCAAGGAGAGGTCGCTATGAGTCGGGTCCGACTCGACGGCACATAACAACAACACAGCAGATCTAACTTAATTTTTAACAGCTTTCCTTTATCTTCTGATTTAGTTTTCCATTTGTATAGTATCCTGTTCTTCGTGACATATTTCTGAACCTATTAATGATATTTTTCCTGAGGTTGTATTCTTCTCTATTATTTCCCCACTTTGTCTATTTTTCTTTTGTAGGAGAGGCTTTTCTGAAAGTTCATTTATATTTGAGAATAAGCCACTGATTGGAATCTATATGAGTACATGCAAGAGCTAGAATTATTATTATTTTCTTCTTCTACTTTTTTTTTAAGAGCTCTCAAATATTAGTATCAGTAATTCTTTTTTCAGAGCCAGTTTCTCTGGAAAAATATTCTTGTGAGGGGTAAGCCTGGGGGCGGGGCAGCATTCTAGGAGCTGAGAAGGGTAAGCAGGGCGAAGTTCTCACCCGTTGCTCAGACTGTAGACTAATCTAGTTCTTTAGCTTTTAGAATAGGTTTTTATCCTTGCTTTCTTCTGTGCCTAGTGTCCTAAGTCTAGAAGCTCTCTAATGCAGTTACTTTTCAGAATAAATCACTTTTCTCTCACATATATTAGGAGAGGTGGTTTCCTGTTTATGGGCTGTGGAGGCATTGTTTAGAATCCATATCCCACATCCCACTTTTGGAAAAACCTGGGGGATCCAGTATCTCAGCCATTTTGAGATTCTTCAGTGTGAGCCAGCTAGCTTTTCCTTGGCATATGCCTTTGCAGGCAGGGAAGTTTTAGCATGCTCCCTTTTACTAAATCAGTTACAAAATCTCCAACAGCTTTCCATTGTCCAAAAATTGGAGCCCTCTCCCTCCTAGTTTCTTTGTCCTTATTGTTAGTATACATTTTTAACTTCATTTACTATAATTTCAGGGAGGAAATGGAATAACATGCATTTATTAAATTTACTAATGCAATCAGAGTACAAGGATTTTTCTGATACATAGAGTAGGGCAAGATACATCTCCTTCATTGCGTTTACATTCTTATTGACTAAATCAGTGACTAGAGACATAAATGAAAAAATATACTTGGTGAGGATAAGTACCCAATTTCTTTTTTTAAAAAATCACTATTGATTTTGTGTAAGACAACATACTCTGTAGTTACTGATAAATACCAAGTGAACTAATTTACATGTATATTAAAAATGTTTATTATCCTTTTATGTGAAAAAATTTTATCTTGAAATAGATACAATTTAAAAATCTTCAAAACAGATTTCTTTTCAACTTACTTCAGGGATGATCTTCCCTTCCACAATTGCCTTGCATTTGCCCAGGTATGTTTTATATTCTAAATCTTTGCCATTGATAATCATTGAAGCCACATGACAAATGAACTAATTTTATTTATTCAACAATACATGGTCAGTATGTGTAAGGCCCTGGTCTGGTACTGGGCAATAGTGAACAGGAAAGTGCAGTCCCTGCCCTCATGATTTTGAATTCAATAGTAGAATAAAAACAATGAAAATGAGCAATTATAGTGAAATGCATTTGGACTATGGTTGGGAAAGGGCAGAGTGCTCTTAGCACATAGATAATAGCACCTAGCCTACATTTCTTTTTCCTAGAGGAAGTGACATTATCCTAAGAGTAATGGAGAATCTTTATGCATAATTGGCTACTCATGGCTGCTTTGTAGAAACTGGATTGCAGACAGACAGACTTGGAGAGTAGGGAGACTAGATGTTTGGCTTTTATCATTCAAGGAAATGATGACAGTGGTTGGGAATAGCATAAAAAATTTGACAGAAAGAACTGGCAGTACTAGGATGGGAAAATAAGAATCAGATACCTGTTCACA